TCTTCCTGAAACACTGTGTTCCAATTTTGAAGCGTAAGGGCGCGTGTACACGCTAAGAAATTCGACGTGTCTGCTACAGAAATGATGAGAATGATCTTGAACACACGCCAGCACGTCAAGCTACACATTGACGTATCTTGTTCCGTTGCAATGGAGGCGATTTTCGGACAAAAATGTGTAGTCTGATGTGCCGTTGTCCATACATGACAAGAACTTTGTCGGATCTAGTCACGAAAATATCGTCATTTGTAGGATCAATTAACGTAACCACCAAATGGATGAAAATGAGTTATATACACAGTTCCATAGAAAATTTTGCGCCCAATCGAATGGTGCTGTTAAAACAATTATATCTTGAAAAAAAATAGCGGTTGCCTTACAAAAAAATGAAGATTCATTGGTAAAATAACACAAAAATTTAGTGTATGATACATTTATAAGGAACTTGAGTCTTACTAAATTAACTTAACGACTATGCCTACAAAAACATTTTGTTGTAATACAGTAATCGCTAAAACTTGTCTGTTACATTAAACTCATAGTTATTTATTTAGTTTAGTTATTTAGAACAAATAATTATAAGTTACTTTAACTAATATCGCACTTTTTTTTACACGAAATAGACTTTAGATTAATATTTTTATGTTATTACAGTAACTTGTTACTCAAACGTGGAATAAAAATTACGAAACAGGATATTTAAGTTAAATGGAAACGGAATTTACTTACCTAGTAATATTTTAAACTCAAAAAATGCTTATCTAAAACAAATTTAGATATAAATCTTAGTTTCATATTGATTAGTAAATGAAATAATTGTATTCTAATTACAAATTATTTTAACGTGAATATAAACTATGATATTTTTCTATACATATTTGATGGTTAGGCACTTTGTGATTGACTAAGTGATTCAAGTGAACTATCTATTGCCAGGACATACGTACATGCCTGTTGACTCCATGCATAGTGTCATCGAACGTTAGATACTAAACCTTATTGTGTGGAGTCCTAAACAATGGGCTACATTCATACTTACCACGCGAAAATTTCCGCGCCCATACGAAGTTAAAGTCTTAGACCACGCCGATTTTACTCATTGGCAAATAACTACTGGACAAACATTTACGGCTACAACAATGCCTAATAAAAACTTGAAATTAAGGGACGTAAGGATTGCAACTTTTAAGAAGATAAAATTTAGACGTCATGAAAATTGAATATTCTATGAAAGAAGTCGCTGAATATTAAAAAATTCCACTGGGCCATGATATAAAAAAGAAAATAATCGGACTAAAAGAAAAAAGATGAAGTAAAGATTTATTACCAATACAATCTATATGGTCTCAGATTTACAAGGCTTTATGCAAGCCCAGTACTTATTTCAACAAAAAAAAATACCATGATTTGAAAAAACTATGTAGCGATGGTGTGATTCCCAAGCAGTACCTTCAAGATATCTGAGCCTCTTTGACAAAATTGATATCCTGACATCGATCATCAAGATCAAGGTGAGTGCGATAAAAACGTCGAAGATGACATACTAGATATTGAGAACTATGTACCTGAATCGACTGAAAGAGTTAAGAGGAATATAGCTGACAATGTGGAAAAACAGAAACAGAAGAAAAAACGCAATGATGTTAAACGAATTTTCAAGCAAAATGTTTGGTAAGAAAGCATCTGGGGGGAAAATCAAAAGTAAATTGTGAGAAAACATTTCAAAATAAATTATTTGGGATGGGATAATGCAAGAATAGCAAGGGATAAAACAAGGAAGAAAGCAAGGCAAAGGAAGGGCAAACGAATCCAAGACTGGCCGCAAAAAAAATAACTTACATACGCTTGATAATATGATTATTTTAAAATTTGATATGCTTTGTTTTAAAATAGTCTTTTTTATTTATAGCGTTTAGATTAATGACAAGATTTTTAAAAAGTTAGTTTTAGGAAATGAAACTATTTTTCCGGATTTAAATCGCGTATATTTGTTTTTTCAAACAAAGTAACATTTCGGGCCCTGGTTGACATCAACCGTGACCATGGGACTGGTAAAGGGCCCGAAACGTTGGTTTGTTTGAAAAAACAAAACAAATATATGCGAATTAAATCCGGAAAAGTAGTTTCAAATTAATTTACGTTTTAGTTTCATTTTTATTATTTATCTAAAATAGGAAATGAAACTATTTTTCAGGATTTAAATCGCGTATATTTGTTTTTTCAAACAAACCGACATTTCGGGCCCTTTACAGGTCCCATGGTCACGGTTAATCGTGACCATAAATAATTTTCAAGATTTAGGCTAATTATAGTATAGAAATCCGATTAGTTCAAAAATATTCAATTGATTGTGATCTCAAATTAGAACGGGTTATCATTATTATTAATACATGACTTGTACTTTAGTCTAAGATAATTATAATTTTGTATAACTTTTTAGTTTCAATTACTAAAAAACTTTCGTGTTATTTTGAATCTTATTCATAAGGCGTTAAAGGCCTAAATTCGTTAAAAATAACGTTAAAAATTATATTATACTTTGTCAGTTACGCCATAGTCAACATTCAATGTTATAAAATATTGCATATAGCGTGTAACGTAACGTATTTGGAACAAGACAAAATAACGTACGCGCCATGCTATCTTTGAAACTATCAGCACTAGATTCATGCAATTAGATTGGGTTAGTCTTTACAATTGTAAGAAACTTTGTTCAACTTCATACGAATAAGATGAAAATAAAAAGTTATAGCAATTTTTCTTAAAAAAAATTGTTTTGGTCTCTCCTGAAAAATTTACTTTTGGCCGTTAAGTTAAATGATCCTACAACTGACGAATGTCGTGTCTGTTGCAGACGAGAATATGATGAGTATGTACACGATACGAACGCTTTCGGTCAGACGTGTGTAGGGTAAAATGTGTCAGTGCATTATGAGTCTTCCAGGTAGCTCGTTTTACTACCGACTGTGGGAAGAAATATATTGTAGTACATGTTGACTACTAACCAACACCCATCCATGCACATAAACGTTCGTTTACCGACAATGCAACTTACCCCACTCCGTGCTATAGCGGCAAAGCGCGTCGTGTCGGGGCTACCCCCGTCTACACAAGATTCTTTTCAGTGTGTGTAGAAACGACACGAATTCTTGCATAGACATAGCTACTTTTCTTAGCGTGGACACTTGGTACTTAATTGGTTTTTGGTGTAACGGGCTGGTGTCTGCAACTCAACGTCAAAGCGCCTATTTTGCGTGTGGTGGGTGAAGGGTCCTACTCGTGCCACTCAAGCTCCTCCAGAAATCTCAGCAGCATCCTCAGTTTGCTGAAGACTTCGGGGAGCGACCTTGGCACTCCAAGGTGCTTTGCCCAGTAATTGGCCACGCCGGAGCACTGTAGTAGGATGTGCGCAGCCGTTTCCTCCCCCTCCATGCACGCTCTGCATAGAGGGCTGTCTGTGATACCTAAATTGAAAAGGTGTTTATTGTATTGTATGGGCCATGACCCGTTAGGGCGGCAGTTAGAGTGCGAAGCTCTTGCCTTTTGAGTTTAATAAATGTTCAAGATAGACTGGCATTGAGCTTTGGGAATGCTTCCCTCGCCTGTCTACAGACCGTAAGGGTAGTCCATGCATTATTATGTGACGATTTTGTGCCTTTGTGTAAAGTTGTTCTGAACCATTGGTAGGGGAGGGGCACTATGGGTTCTGGTCCTACAGCGTCCGTCTCCGACCCTTTTCTGGCTAGTTCGTCTGCTGCATCATTGCCACGTGAGCCGCTGTGTCCTTTAATCCACTATAGAGTTACGTGGTTTGTACACATACCCCCATGAGTGCTTGATGGCATTCATAAATGAGCCCTAAGTTTATGTCATAGCTGTTCAGTGCTTGTAGTACTAACATACTGTCGGAGAGTATTCGAATGGAGTGGTTCTTAACTCTTCTCGCTATGATTGCTTCTGCCACCAACTTGATGCCCATGCATTCAGCCTGGAATACTGTGTTGTGGTCACCAAGTGGTGTTGATATCCTGATATTGAGGTCTTCTGAGAATGCCCCAGTGGACACGCGCCCTAGGGGTGCTGGTGAAATTACTAACAGGGACTTGTCATCTTATGTCTCAGGGTGTCGGACGCATTGGCAGTGCTTCTCAGAATTTCGCCATTTAAAACTCTGAGTGACACTGCAACTGTCATGGATGGACGAGACGCACGACTTGTTCGTCTCATACAAAAAAACGTGTTAAGTCCCCATCTGAGCCGGGGCGTTCAATCTTCTTCTTAGAGGAGGATCTATGGCCAACAGTGGGATGTATAATGATTTAATATGATTTAATGACGATGAGGCTACACATTACGCTGGAAATTGTTATATTGACTAAACTCTACTATTAATTTGTAAGTCAGATTCCACTGAGAAGACTGAGCAAGAAACTCTAGGGGTTGTTCTTTATAAAAAGTTATTTGTACATATTTATAATTTGCCATATTTAAATTATAAATAGTAATAAAAAATGGTAGCAATGTGAAAGCATCTGTATCAGGAATTTTGATCATCATCGTACGCATAAGTTGTCTAACAAGAATGAAGTTTTTGGTTTTCACTATTGTTTTAATCAATCAAGTAAATTTTCGAAATAATTATATACTTAGTAATATAGTATAGTTATAATACTTTATGGTTACGAATGGTTTAATAATAATATCAACAGGGGTCTTTCTATAGAAGCGTACAAGCCGATTTCTGACTTTGTGAAGATTGTTGTCAAGAACCACCAGTTTTTTACATTCCTCGTGTTAATTTTATGTATAACACAATGTTTCATAAATATATATTATTCTTGTTAATATAAATTACATTTTCATAAATAGAAGAATGGATGAGAACGTTTAAACATCACAGAACAGCCAACTAATCGCTGTTTTTAATTTGTCGCGCGCCGTCAAATAGCCCAGTGTCTAATACGCATGCGCGGATGTAGGACCCAGCTTTCCCCAGCCGGGTTCAAAATGGCCTCCTACTAAGCGTCTCCGATTGATTTTTTTTCCATAACCATACATTAAATACTGTAAAATATTGAAATACCGCGTTTTAAACATTTTAAACAATCTAAAAATAAAATGGCGTAACGTTTCTTACGTAAAGTGAGACGCGGTGTTCTAAAATAGATTGAGTTGTAAAATTATAACCTGTGTGCCGCTTTAAAGTTATAATTATCAGGTTTTTTAAGCTTTTTCTGTATAGTTTTTTATGTAACAAATGTCTTTGAAACTACAGTGTTCGGTGTATTGGTCGTCTAGAAGAGAGGACTACGTGGTTTCATCCTAAACGTAAGTAGTCACGCCTTCTATCAATTTAGACGTCTACTTTAACACTACATGACCTAAAATCTAGACCTAATGCAGTTAGTAACCTACATTTGTGGCTCGCACATGATTCTTTGCAATTTTTCTTAAAAATTCGTGAAAAAATTTTGCTGGCAGGAAATTTCGTAACGAATGTTTTAGTGAAAAAAAAGAGCAAAGTTCGAATTTCGAACAAGTGTGTGAAATTGGTGGTTTTTAAAAATGGAACGCTATGACATAACGTGAGGTAACGGTGATAATTCAGCGAATATGAGGCCCAAGTGGTTTTCCCAGAATTTTTCGGGATAATCTGTCTGACCTGCTTACTCATACGTGTTCTGTCTCTCTCTAGAGCTGTTCCTGAATGGGGCGGTAGGCATGCGCTTTAAAATTTCGGGATTCTGCAATTTTTTATACTTTTTTTTCACGCGGTCTATCTGGAACGCTTGTAGACGAAGCAAAAGATTTTATTATCAAGGTTGTTTTCTATTTTAGATATTAAATTGTAGGGATGTGCAATGTTAATACTTTCTATTTTTCATTGTTTGTGTTTGTGCGTTAGCCTTGAAGCTTATGTAGCCAGTGAAGGCTTAGATTGAGTATTGTCACTGCTTTAGGGCGTTTTCCAAAGAAGGTTACGTAGCACATAAAGTGTACAGACAAAACAAATATGTCCCCGACCACGTAGTCACACTTATAATAAACAATTTAAAATAAAAAAAACATAATACTTTTCGTAAGAATAAAATAGTGAGACAAAAAGTAAAATGTAGTGTACTACATTGGCTTTAACGATGGATAGCAATTTCTTCCAGGCAACCTTAAGGTAAACTTAATAAATAATAATTGAAATGAATCGTAATGTTTTATGTAAATAAAAAAATAGTTTTTGTTATTTTTTTAACAGAAGGTGCAAGCTTATAGCTTCTATGTCATTACTTTTTTTATTATACCAAGTTACAGGACGCCTGTCCATAACAGTTGCAATGCCGCTTAGAGCTTTAAATTGTCAAGGTCTGAGGCACTGCTAGTTGTTCGCCCCGTCATTTAACAAAAAAAGTTATTGAAGTCGTGCGAATACAATAAATTATTTGATTCATTGATTGTACAAAATCAATTGAAAACACGTAAAGAATAATAATTTGAAGATCGCTATGTCGTCGTCCAACTCTACCTCATAATGTCGCGTCAGTTTATGTCTAGAGAAAACGCATCTATTTACACCTACTTTCCATCTCCATTAAATATGGCAATTGAAAGAAGACCTGTAACAAAATAAGATAGAATCATCTGCGAAATTTCAAATTCGTGCAATTAAACCACATGTGGTCATACGTCAAAAATTCTTTCATCACATAGAGCCATTACAGCCGACTTTGTGTAAGCGACAAAAACTATCTTTACAGTAGAGGGTTCTTTGAAATATTTCTACATACTATGATACTAAATTGAATTTTAATGTAAGTATAACAATGAATTTCGTAACCGATTGTGTAATAACTACATTTTTTTTAAATAATGGCTGTTAAGCCTTTTTTCCTCACTTATATACAGGGTCAATAGCACGTCAAGCTTTGACACTTAAGATTTAAATCCAACTCCATACCGCTTAGGGTGTGAACGGTCCAAAGTACCAAGAGTCAAGCTTGACGTGCTCTAGACTGTACAGGGTGAAGTGTACGTCAAGCTTGACATAAAGGCTTAAATTTAACTCTATGCCGCTTGCAATAAGAACGGTCCAAAGTCCAAAGTGTCAAGCTTGATGTGCTCTTGATTGTACGTACTTCCCTGGCTCACAGACCCGTTGTGGATCTTGGCCTCCGACACTAGAGTACGCATTGTCTTTCCACCAATAAACCATTCGAACCTTTAGCTCCTTTAGGTCTTTAGCGACTCCATCCTTCCAGCTATATCTTGGACGGCCCACTGGACTATGACCCGTAGGTTGCCCGAAATATGCACTTTAAGCGCTACAAACATTGACTTACAATTATATAGACGTCGGGTCCGCGCTAAAAAGTGTCCGCATTCTTCATTTCATCAGTCTTCATTTGTTCGACTGACAGCGCGATACTGCGATGACATTACAATTTAAATTTCGAATAGTTTGACTTGGGACTTGGTTTTTGTATTAGACCCGTCGTCCATTTATTTGTAAGTCAATGGCTACAAAGCTTTTTTGGCGCATAAATACTTTTACTACCCCTATCTAAAAATTGAACACTTACGACAAAAATTATACAATACGTTTTTTAACCGACTTGGAAAAAAAGGAGTAGGGACTGTATTTTTTTCATGTATGTTACGCGATGACTCCGGCACATCCGCATTTGTGAATCGATTTTGTTGATTCTATTTTGTTGGATCGAATGGATCTCGTTGTAGGTCCCATTTAAATTTGAAGAAAATATTCCACCTCTAAGGGTGGCAAACTAAGGGATAATACCGGTTTCGCTCACTTCCCGATAACCGATATTAATAAAACTTGGCAAATAGATTTGTAATTCCACGAACTTTTGATTTTGGTCGGTCAAAGTCAAAGTAATCATTTATTCCACAGGTAATATTTTTACACTTGACAACATTGACTTACAATTATATGGACGTCGGGTCCGCGGTAAAAAGTGGCCGAATTTATAGGGCGTTAAAATCGTATACAGAGCGTCATTCACGCTTTAGTCTTCGTTTGTTTGACTGACAGCGAAGCAAGCAAAATTAGACAGTACTGCGATGACATTACAATTTAAAAGCTTTTTCATATTCCTTTACATGTCACTACGTTTAAATAGGTTGACTTTGGACATTTTTTTCGTGGTTTTTGTATTAGACCCGTCGTCCATTTATTTGTAAGTCAATGCTTGAAAACCTCATTTTTTTTAGCTAATGCTCGTTCACTACGCTGACCTCCCTGAGAAGAATGAGCAAGAAACTCTAGGGATTGCTCTTTTCAAATAAACTTATATGCTATGGAATACATTTTGAGTCATAATTGTGTGGAATCAAGACTCATGTTGTCTTTACATACATCTTTATCTAACAAATAGTCCTCAGTTTTATAATATGACTTTTCAATTAAAATACTTTTATTGTAAGTTTTAAATCTTAATTAACTGATAATCTTGTGGAATGGATTTCCCTAGGAGCTATGTTGAGTGTGTGCGTTATTATTAACAATAGACAAATTATAAATAGAGTATGTACAGAATTATCTCAACAATTTAAAAAATGCCATTACCACCATTAACAAATGATTATAATACAACAGTCAGGCAATGTTATAAAAAAACAAAACACCTAAAGTCGAGGTAAAAAGTACTATGAAAGGAGTATGCAGTATTTAAATTTAATACTAGGTATTTTTTTAATAAAAAGTTATTGCCATTTTGTTTATTGTAAACAACGAAATTGTGATGCACTTACTATGTCTGTATATTATTGTCGTAACGACTAATTTTTGAATATTGATTCTGTAGACTTCAATAAAATATAAAAAAACAGTTGAGCTAAAGACAAACTTGGTTTTTTCTGTAATTTCTATTTGATATAATTTAGGCGGGAAATGTCGACGCGTCCTTGTCCGTTGTAGTTTAAAATTATCATTTGCAATGAAAATACGCTGTTTAGTAGGTAATAATGTCGCTTACGATAAGTCGAGGTCATGCCACGACATGAAAGTCATAACAATAGTGCGAAATGCGAATTAAGTATATTAAATAAATTATGTATATTTATTACATTTTATAACTGTTCTATTTAAGGTTCGATACTATCTCAGTTTCAAATTGCAAAGACCCGAGGGGCACTGCCACTGTGCCCGTCACCTGAGACGTAAGTTGACAAGTCCCATGTGCTCGTAATTTGCTTGCACCCTTACCCCTCAACGCCGGAACACAAGCGACAGAAAAAGATAAGGTAGGTGGCAGTACTACCCTGTACGCAGTACTTAGTAGGCAGTACAATACTTATTTGGCAGTCATTGTTTCGGACAGATGTCAGACGGAGATCGAGAGTAGACCCCTAGTAGTAGGGTAGCAAGTCAAACGTACAAGCGTCCCCCCGAAGTACCCCAGGTGCCCCTGCGTTTTGCACAGAGTTATCAGTTTCGAGCAATCTATTTACATATTTTTATTGTAGTGTGAAAGTAAAATGTGATGAATAACCATTGACTTACAAATAAATGGACGACGGGTCTAATACAAAAACCACGAAAAAAATGTCCAAAGTCAACCTATTTAAACGTAGTGACATGTAAAGGAATATGAAAAAGCTTTTAAATTGTAATGTCATCGCAGTACTGTCTAATTTTGCTTGCTTCGCTGTCAGTCGAACAAACGAAGACTAAAGCGTGAATGACGCTCTGTATACGATTTTAACGCCCTATAAGTTCGGACACTTTTTAGCGCGGACCCGACGTCCATATAATTGTAAGTCAATGTGAATTACTTTCAAATTCAAACTCAAAGTTAGCCGTGACTGAGAGACGTGTAAAGGGCTGGAAATATTGGTTTGTTTGAAAAAAAAAAAACAAAATAAGTATACGCGATTTATGTGTCGACCTCTATGGTCGAGTCAAAGTCTTTGGTCAAATAATCTTCATTTCATAGGTAAGCAAATCACATTTTTCGAAATCGTCATATTGATAAACTCTACTGTTCATTCGTAAGGCATATTCCCCTGAGAAGAATGAGCAAGACAAGTCTAGGGGTTGCTCTTTAATATAAATATATATTTGAATATATTTATCAGTTACAATATTTATTTCAAACATCTTAGATTGAGCCCACCTGCAAGACCTAAACGGATCACTACTACGGATTCTTGTCATTCAAGTACTAAAAGTAATATATAAAATAAAATTAAAATGTTTATTTACTTTACTTAGGTCTAGTTTACAACTGGGGTTCGAAACTCCTTTTTAAGTAAATATATACTTGTGCTAGGAGTTCGCTCTTCCACATTTCAAATACAAGAATATCTAGTGTAAT